GGGCAAGGCACTTGCCTTGCATGTGGTAGATGGAGGGTTTGATCCCCCTCACTCCCTACAGTTCCCTGAGCCCCACCAAAAAAACCACAAATTGTAAACCGTATCTTACCCGTCTTAGTAGATGGCCCACCCCGCTATGATACTAAATATATCCAAAACTCTCCCCAAATATTTTAACCGAAATTTGATTAATGCATAATGGGTCTAAGAAACAATTTGCTGGCGATAGAACAAGCCCACAACACTTTCACTTTGTAATTTGAACATGGCATAAGGAATTTCCTCCAGAGATACAGAGACTGGGTACAGTCAATGGGATCACAATGATTTTTATCACTGACACTAACTCAGATGACAACGGGATGTTACCATCACTGCTGAGTCTTAAATTCTTCGTCTTCTAAATAAGAACATTACCTCTCTCCCAGGGTTACGGGAGGATTCGGTGTGGTAATACACGCAGAGTGCTGTGCACGGTGGCTGATCCCTGATGAGAGAGCACTGCTCAAGAACAGTAGTAAAAACTCATGCCTACTGCACACTTAACACTACACCCATACAAAACATAGGCACTACAGTGCCGCGGATTTTGAAGGGATCAAAAATGACCTCAGTCTAATCCAGCCCGCCTACCTGCACTCTGCCGTGCATCTCCACACTGCGACTTCTAGCGATGAACACACAGAGATCAACCTCACAGATAAGAAAGCCAAAGTACCACAAGGGTTTCAAACGTCTTCCGGTGGTTACAGAGAAAAGGGAGAGGCGGAAATCAGCGCCAAATATAGCCTCCCGCTCATAACACTCCCCCCTAACTCTTCAGGTAGCATTAGCGCTTTCCGATGGAGAAGGAAAACCGAGATTCAGTCTCTCCAGCGTTACGTGATAGGTCCAAGGTCTCATAGGTAATAAATAAAACTGGGCAGGGAACCCATCTTCTATTTGCATGTCTGGTGTTCTTTCAGCTATATCTTAGAAAGCTATCAAACAATATGAAATTCACTTCGTGTAATCATCGGTAATTATCTGCATTTGGAACAGAATGGAATAATAGACGTGATTATGTGGATACTTATTATGAGTAAGTATGCCAACTGATAACCACCAACAAATTAGTTTGTGGTGTCATATTTGATTCAAAATGGAGTTTCGCTGAACTAAAGACATCACAAGCTTTGGCATTAAAATTTTTTAAAAAAATTACCCTGAGTATAAAGGAACTTTATCACAAAAATCATTCTGCTATGTTAAAATAATCTGAGCGAGGTCAACATATTGAATATCACAGACTTAATTAACATTTCCACCAAAAGGTCAGTGAAGACTAAATTCTACTTTAACTGGTGTATCATAGCTATCTAAGTTTTGTTCTTAGTCTGTTCTCATCACTTGTACTATGTCACACCAGACCTGTTGCTTATTAATAAAGAGACACAGAACAAGTTACTCAATCATTCTAATTTATAAAAAATATGTCACTATGCCTACACCTTGTAGGCATGTTCAGATTACACAGAATGTACACAAAGCACCCAAGATCACACCTGCCCTGGAGAGGGTAGCTATTAAGGGAGTAATTTTTATCACAAGCCTTGAGTTCATCACTTCTGCCTTATCCCTCTATCCCCTAAGAGTTGGACCACTGAGTGAAAAGGACATTTCTACTTCCTGCTCCTGCTCTAACGTCCTACTGGCTCTAACTGCTAATCCTCTGACCTAAATTCTCCGCTATCTACTTGTGGTATCCCCAGAGCAAGTCCCTGAACTTCCTTTATTGAATTAATTTACTGGTCAGAAAAAAAAAAAATAATGCTCATTACTTATCAATAGAGAATGATCTTTTGATAACTGCTAATTCTTAGAGCTAATCCAAAAGACTTCTCGTGAACCCTTTGAACACTCCCTTTCTTTTTTAACACTGATTTTTTTTTTTCAACACACACAAACTTAATGTTGAAACATATGGTCAGGGGCTGGAGAGATAGCACAGCGGGGAGGGGGTTTGCCTTGCTCGTGGCCAACCCGGGTTCGATTCCCAGCATCCTATATGGTCCCCTGTGCTCTGCCAGGAGTAACTCCTGAGTGCAGAGTCAGGAGTAACCCCTGTGCATCACCAGGTGTGACCCAAAAAGCAAAAAAAAAAAAAAAAAAAAAAAAAAAAAAACCCATATAGTCAGCAATTAAGAATTCACATAGCAGTTTCCTCACACAGATGTCACTAGACCTTGACATCTGTACCAGCCTATTTCATATTCCATCCTCCCAGTTAACAGTTTCCACTGAGCAAAAAGACACTTTTTGGGGGGGGGGGGGGGGACAAGGTTGCAAAGAGAGCTATCCCTACAGTTTTCTGTAGTACAGCTAATTAGGTGGGTGGGAGGCCTGAGACAAAAAGGAGCCAAACGGAACCATCCTGGGGCTCACAGGGAGCCCCCAGGGAGGGGCCAGAACTACTCTCCAAGCTACTGTGTCAAAGGCGCAGGCACTGCCATGGACCAAGTACTTTAAACACCTTATTTCCTGGTCCAAGCACACGGATTCTCTTCTGGGGGTTGGAGGTGCTGGGGGCAGGGGGGTGGGGGGGTACGGAGACGAAGGCTCTGAGAGGTCACGCGACTTGGCCACCCCAAACACGCCCGGAGGTCACGGGAGGGCCCAAGCTGCAGTCATGCCTCTGCTCTTTCCATCACACAGTGCCCCGTTCACTGAGCCCAGGAAAGACTCACGCCGAGGCCAAGCAGTGGGGCAGCTAAGCTTTCTCATTCCCATGCTGGTGGAGCCAGTCTGCCTCTCTTCCGGCAAAGGGCGTGACTCTGAGAATGAATTCACCTTGAGCCTAGAGTTCCCACCCCCCACCCCACCCCCTCATCCCCCAGCCTCGATGGTAGAGGAGGGGCAGTGTTCCTTCCATCCCAGGGCACACAGGGCAGGGCGTCTTGGTAGAAATGCAGAGTCCGACTCAGTCAGCTCGGGGTTGGGGGGGGTGGTGCCTGGGACTCAGCATTTCCAACGTGCTCCCAGGAGATGATAGAGCTCCCGGTGCTTAGGACATACTCCAAATCGACTAGGCCCAAGAGTGGCCAAACGGGAGCTGGAGCAATAGCACAGCGGGTAGGGCGTTGACCTTGCACACAATCAACCCGGGTTCGATTCCCAGCATCCCATAAGGTCCCCCGAGCACCGCCAGGAGTCATTCCTGGGTGCATGACCCAGCAGTAACCCCTGTGCATCGCTGGGTATGACCCAAAAAGCAAAAAAAAAAAAAAAAAAAGAGTGGCCAAACGATGGCTGATCCTCAAAATCATCTGGGAATCATTCCAAAGCTACTGATTGGGGGTCAGGAAGGGCTCTGATTTAGACCCCTGAACCTCAGGCCTCCACCCCAAGCACCAATGGGAGGGGTTCTTTAAGGCCCCCTGAGCTGCAGTGGGTCTCAGCAGCAGCATCTGACCAGACCACACACCTCCACTTCCAGAAAGCAGCTCAGATGCCCTCCCCAAACAGAAAGCCAAAGTGCAGGCTCTGAGGCCCGCCCTCCCTGACATTCAGCAGTGTGAGTGCTTTTCTACCACGAAATTCTATAATGCCAAGAAACAGGTGACCATGACCAAGGCAAGCGCTGACCGAGCAACACCCCAAACGTCTCCTGCTGTCTTACCTAGTAACTTCACTGCCCACAGCAGCATACCGGAAGGTCGGTACTTACAGCACTGTCATGCCCACTTTGCACGGGAGAAAAACCAAGGTCCTGTTCCCTGCCCAAGGTCGGCTCACGATTAGCAGGACAGGGGGTTCGAACTTGAGCCGCTCTGATTCCAAAGAGGCCGTGCTTTCAAAGGCCACAAAGAGCCACTCTCCGTCACGTCACTGATCGCAACAGACACACACTTGAACAAATAAAATCCAGAATGGGTCACTGCAGAAGATGCCACCCTGCCAAGGCGATGTCCCTATTTCCCAGGAACTGCCATCACACAGAACCCGGGCACTGCAAGACGACGTGATCTAAGAGCTCCTGCTATGAGCGTGGTGATGCTGCAGCATCAAAACCTGGGACTTGAAATATCTGTAACCCCAGGAGAAAAAGCTCATTGGAATATAGATTTGTTTCAGTTTTCTGTTGTTGTTGTTGTTTATTTGTTTTTTGGGGACAATTCGAAACCAGGAAAAGTAAATGCAAAGGAACCTGCCTGGCGCCAGATCCAGCAGTTTCTGGAGAATTTAAAAAATCTGGTATTAGGAATTGAAAACGTTTTCCTCATCCCTCTTCTCCGATGCCGATTCCCAATGAGACTTCATGTTTTGCGCAATGGCTGCATCACCAGAGCCAACGTGACTGTTCTGAAGGGCAGTGCTCATCTGAATCCACAGACTCTGCTCCATTTGTTTCGAAAAACATTCAGCCTCTCAGCTATACCAAAACACATTTACCCTTCACTGGACAAGAACGTGCATATATACATACGGTCACAATGACTATATGAAAGCATGCAGTTTCCCTTCTGCGGCAAAAACAAATGCTCTAGTTTCATTCAGAATTAAAAAAAAAAACATTTTCTTTATAAAAAAAAAAACACCCATCTGTCGGAAAAGAAATACAATAACCAGGCATTCACGAAGCATTTAACTGCATGCAGCACCACAAAAGGCATCATACAAAGGCAACAACATATTCGCAATATGTGCAGAAATGCCCTCACCACGAGGGAGAAAGGCACACGATTATTCTGGGAACAGAACTATTAAAAGGTATTGTATTTCTACACCTAGACTAACTCCTTTCTCAACAGAACCCGTCTCTCTTTTGTAACAGAAAATATTCTGCAAATTCAGAATGATTTACAGCTCCTCCGAAAACAGGCATCAACGCAGATGAGCGCAGTTCCACAGAACCAACCTCTCTGCTTGCACTGGACCCCCCGACACCTCACTGAAGCCACAGTGCCCCTGTACCAACTCCCACTCCACCACCCCCCACGCACACCCAACTCCCCGCCAACCTCACAGGGGTTCCTGGGCTGGTCCATGGAATCTGATGACATCACTCTCTCTTCCTTCCTGGAATTCTAAACCCTGCTGCTCTCCCCTTGCACACAGCTACCATCTCCATGGCAACCTCACCTCCTCCTGCTTCCCGATTGGCTTCATGGAGCAGGACACACAAAAAGGTTTTCCGTTCTCCACCACCACCACCACCCGCCCTCCCCCCCCCCCAAAAAAAATGATGCTTTCAACAGGAACCCGAACTAAATTTAGCGACTTGCGATTCAAAATCCTCTGACTAAGAAAACACAGCGAAATGTCCTCCTTCCCACAATCCACCCTCCTCACATACCCCACCTCCCCACACCCCGGAGCGAGCAGCTGTTTCACCTTCCTTCTCTCTGACCCCTAACCCAAAGACAGGGGCAGGATCTGCTGGGCATTGCCACGCACTGTCCACTGGCCCAGGGAATATTCTCACATCCTGCTCCCACCCAAAAAAGGGGTGGGGGTGGGGAGAACAAAACGAAAGTAGGAAACGGTTGGATATTTCCTGGGCTGAGCATCAGACGGCTGACGCTTCCCTCCACCCCAAGCCTACGAGTCAAACGGTCTCTGTGCTCTGAGAGGACCAGTCTCCTTGCTATCTGTTATCTGATGTTATCATTATTATTTTAGAAGAGGAGGAAGAGGAGGAGGAGGAGGAGGAGGAGGAGGAGAAGGAGGAGGAGGGGGGGGAGGAGGAGAAGGAGGAGAAAGAGAAGGAGAAAGGGGAGGAAGATGAGGAGGAGGAGGAGGAGAAGAAAGAGGAGGAGGACGACAAGGAAGATGAAGAAGAAGAAGAAGAGGAAGAGGAAGAAGAGGAAGAGGAAGAGGAAGAAGAGGAGGAAGAAGAGGGGGAGGGGGAGGAAAGGTGGGGAGGAGAGGAAGGAGGACTGCTTACTTAACTAACCAAGCTCACTGAGCAGAGAACCACAAAACCTAGATCTGATTTTCCAGCACAGGAATGGACCAACCTACGATGTCAAGTGGAGCAAGTCCTCCTGCCCCTTCACACCAAAGGCAGGTCCCACCCAGGGATGTTTTCCAAATTACCAATGAAACTCATGTAAAGTTGTTCAGGTCCCAGGATCAAGGGGCAGAAAGAGAGTTAGTCAAATTCCTATGATAGTAACGGAAATATATTTATCACCAAAGAACATGAGCTTCTAGGGCTTGGTGGCAGTACAGCGAGGAGGGCATTCTGCCTTACACGTGGCAGACCCGGGTTTGATCCCCGGCATCCTATGTGGTTCCCTGAGCCCACCCACCAGGAGTAATTCCTGAGTGCAGAGCCAGGAGTAATCCCTGAGCACTGCTGGGTGTTGCCCTAAAACAAAAAGAAAATCATCATAAACAACTTTTCCAATCATAAATATATAAAGTATGCATAATTCTTAAGTCATAACCCCCAAAGATATCTACTTCTAGTAAAATCCATTTATGCTCACATGATATGCCAGGCAACTTTTGAGCAGTGTTGGATTTTGGAGGAGACCCCACTCTTTTTTTTTTTAATTTTTAAATTTTATTTTCATAAGGTTGTTGGCATTAATTGATGACATTCAATATTTCCACTCCAATCCCACCACCATGACACCTTCCCACCACCATTATTTTGAATTTTCCCCGCCACAGGCAGAGGCTAGATCATTTATTTTCTCCTGCTTATTATGAATCTCATGAGAGGTCTTTCTTAGTTCCAACACTAATTTTGAAATTGCTCCTGCCCTCTCTCTCTCCTATCAGTGGCTGAATGGGAACCGGGTTTCCTCTTCCTGTTCAGCAACCCACTTCTCATTCTAGGTAAGTTACGTTTTCCTCAGAACAATATCTGGTGAATAATGAACCAGGCCATTGGCTATGTCCTATATGACTCTAAAGGACAAAGCATCAACTGTAACCAAGTAAGACTCCAAGCAGGTCGGAGCCTGGGACAATGAAAGGGAACGAATTCAAATAAGGCACACCCGGGAAAATTTCTGTTTTTAATTGGTAGGGCAGAGACTTAGCTCCAGAGCACCAGCTCTGCAAGCTAAAAACTAAGGCATAAAAGGGAAATGACTCATTGTAATATATATATATATATATATATATATATAGTCATTTACCCAGATAGAACTTAAACATTTTGGGAACATTTAGCAAAGTCAGAGTGTCTTCTGACTGGAGGACATATAGAAGTATCTGGAATAAGCTTCACAACTGCTTTGGAAAGCAGAGAAGGACACCATTTTTGCCAATAAACAAGAAGTCTCATTGAGGCAGGAAGAAAGGGAGGGAGCTCAGGATGACTGGTCTGTCTCGGAGACGCACGCTTCCTTCCCTCCTACTTTATAGATGGCTAACATGTGGCTCCTTGCGTGAAACCCTTCCGAGGTACACCCTGGTCCATCGGTTCCAAGGACCTGATGAGCCACCCTCTAGGCGACCTGGGCCCTCTTGAAAGCAAACATGTTGTCACCTTATTCTCTAATGGGATTGAAGCCATTTCCAGCAGCGCCCATCACATCAGCTACTAACCTTGACGTATGTTAGTCACTGTTAGGAAATCTGTCAACAAAGATCTGCACCAAGTGAACCACTGTCTCTCCTTTCACAGAAATACCATTAAATGCAATTAAATATGCAGGGGGTTAAATGGTTGATGGACTCCATTATTAAATACTTTTGGAAGTCAAGATTTTAACCCAGACCTGTTTGGGTTCTAAAGCATAACCTTCCATTTACAGACCGTTCAAGTTGGAAAGAAACATTTTTAAATGATTTTCTTTTGTTTTCTTATGTTATCCATTAAGCACAGGTAACTTACTTGACAAGAAGGTCAAAATTCAGAGTTTTCAGCGTTCCCAACAAGGTCCTAAGGAGGCACTCATCCTATTTATTATTCTAATCCTATTCTAAACTCGGGACACATGACAATGATTCTCCTCCTCAGATCTTTTTTATTTTTTTTAATTGTGCTTCTTTTTATTTTTGGCTTTTATTTTTTGGGGGGAGGGGAGGGTCACACCTGGCAATGCACAGGGGTTACTCCTGGCTCTGCACTCAGGAGTCACTCCTGGCGGTGCTCAGGGGACCATATGGGATGCTGGGAATTAAACCCGGGTCGGCCACGTGCAAGGCAAACGCCCTACCCTCTGTGCTATCGCTCCAGCCCACCTCAGATCTTTTTAAATTAAAATTGGTTTCAGGAGTTACATGCTTAAGTGAAATGGGTGTGTGTGTGTGTTGGGGGAGGGGGGGAACCTTCAGATACCATACTCTGGAATTTAACTTTATAAAATTTGAGATGAACAAAACGGTCGCTGTCGTAATGCCAATGCTGGTCTAGTCTTCCTTACTGCCCTAATATCCAACTATAGTCATATCTGCTGATTTTAATCCATAAAGCCTAATATGGTGGGGGATCTATACAGAAGACTTATAACTTCCAAATTCCAAATACAGAATCAGAGCATTTCGCTAGGGATTTAACTCAAATTAAATCAGCTGGTTAGAGACGCATGCTAATGAGGCCAAGGTCACATGTTTGACATCCAGGCGACCCCATCGGATCCCTTACTCTTCCTTACTGCCATCTGGACTTCAAGGACATGCCGGCGACTGCCTTTGCCATGTCTGTCCTTCTACGGTTAATCTGGTGGAATTCTGTGACGATTAATGTTAACGACTCTAATAATTAGTGATGCTAACCACTTTGGGGGCATTTGGATATCTGCAGTGAAGCTACCAATTTAAACGCTTTTGACCGTTTTTTTTTTTAATTGAGTTGTTCACCAGACTGATTATTAGGAATTTCTTTTATATGTTGATTTGTTGGAGTTACTTAAACTGGGTACCAAGCAGACACCCATGCTGTCCATATCTTTTAGCCTGTAGTTTGTCTTTTTCCTTTCTAACTGGTATCTTTTGGTTACAGATATTCTTTATTTTAATGTGGTCTTTTTTTTTTTTGGGTCACACCTGGCCATGCACAGGGGTTACTCCTGGTTCTGCACTCAGGAGTCACCCCTGGCGGTGCTCAGGGGGCCATATGGGATGCTGGGAATCAAACCCGGGTCGGCTGCATGCAAGGCAAACGCCCTACCCGCTGTGCTATTGCTCCAGCCCCTGGTTTCCTTTGTTTACTTCTGAAGTTAGTAGTTCTGCCCTGTCTCAAAATCATAAAGATATTCTTCTATAATTTGTTCGACAACTTTTAATAGAGCGGCACTTAAAATGTACGATTTTTAAATTCCAAAGACGTACTCTGTGTTTTGTAGAAAATGCACGAGTGAATTTTCCCCCACTAAATAGACCGACCAAGTCAAGCAACCTATGATTTAAAGTGAAATCATCCTAAATTAAATCACCCCGCAGGCCTCATGTTCCCAACTCTCTGTTAGGTACAATATACAAAATGAAAGTGACAGGCAAGAGGCAATCACTAACCTAATAAATGAATATTAACCTCAGCTGAGAGTATGACACTCGACCATTTCTTGTATCCGGTGTTTAAATAAAACTGAGGAATTCTGACATTAGAGCTACAAAACTGCAGCAAATAACCCTGCCGCTCTCCACTCTCTTACCAAACATCCACTTCAATAACAAGAGCATGATGAAGCTTTATGACTGCCCCTGTGGGCTGGAGCGATAGCACAGCGGGTAGGGCGTTTGCCTTGCAAGCAAGCGGCCAACATGGCCAACCCGGGTTCGATTCCTCCGCCCCTCTCGGAGAGCCTGGCAAGCTACTGAGAGGATCTCGCCCACAGGGCAAAGCCTGGCAAGCTCCCCGTGGCATATTCGATATGCCAAACACAGTAACAATTGGCACAACGGAGACGTTACTGGGCCCACTCAAGCAAATCGATGAACAGCGGGAGGACAGTGACAGTGACAGTGACTGCTTCGGTACGCACAGCTACAAATCCAAACCACACTGTTTACCAAGAAAGTACACTAAGCGTACACTAAATGAAAAAAAAATTAATAAGCCATGAACTCAGTGTGTTTTATTTAGCCCATCACCTAAAAGAAAACAGCTAATCTAGAAATTACATAATTTGTTTTGGTGCTACCCCCGTTAGTGCTCACAGCTTACTCCAGACCCTGCACTCAGGG